ATGGACACATGTCTCTTTTCATCCCATGTAACTTTGTAACTATAAAGCCTAACGGGGTTATTCACTAAACACCGGATTTTGACTGGATGGACAAAATCAGGTGAAAATGATCGAATTCTGCCCACAATGGCAACTCTCATATTTATTAAAGCCAAATACGATCATAGTTCAGTCTCCTTGAGCAAAACTCCAGCAATTGCAGGGTACATTCATTGTCCAAATTAATATCGGTGCTCTCACATCTGTATACTATACAAAGTATAAGATTCATAAAATTCATAAAACACTGGTTCTAATAAAATTCGGGACTGAATGCATCTAGCAGGATGCATATTTGCAAATTAATGTTCACTTGCATTCAAGCAAGGAAATTATAATTGTAAGTACTATTTGCCAGCTGGCAGCACTAACAGCCAGTGCGCAAATATTTAAATAACCGTTGGCAATACAATGGTTTATTTTGTAGCCGCTGCCCTGTGTCTGCTAGCCAGCCTCAGCCTATGGGGGTCAATATGCTTCCATCTACCACATGTCTACTAAACAATTAAACTATCAACATGACAACCATTTCTGCCCAGTCGCTATACAGGCCCCCATCCCACGAGGATAAGGCTTGTGAAACAACAAAACCTTCCCCCGGTGAGCATTGGGCAGGGCACTTTAAAATATGGAGGGTGGAGAGTGGGCATTGGATAAAGTAAACACATCCATATGTGTTTTAAAAACACTTGAATGGGGGGGCGGGGCCTGGCAGCCGACCGAGGCAGACGTGCGAAGCCAGAGCTCCTCAGGAAAAAGCTTGATCCTGATCATAACCAGGGGTATTGACCCCCAATTTCCGACAACAGCTCTGCCCTAACTACTTACCCACGGGAGGCAAGTAGGCTGAATGAGCCAAAGACAACAGGCCGTGTAATAACAGCACAGCCAGCGTCCAAGGCCTACAGCGTTGAGGTGGTGGGGACGACCGCTCCTCCATCTCACTCGGCTCCTGCTCACCGCTGTGCCCTGATCCCCCCCCCCTCTGGACCGGTGGGGGATATCCCGGTCCCTACTGGTGGACTAACTCACTACAGTGGAACACAATTGTCAAGAGGAAACAGCGGCAGTAACTGTGTGCCCTATTCACTGTGACCAACTTTGCAAGATGGCCGCCGCAATATCCATGGCCTTCCACGAGGCGCGGATAGAAAAGGCCTTCGAGCACTTCTGGTCCCAATTCTGGTCTACAGTGGGCCAAAGAACAGTGAAGGAGGCGGAGGCAAGCCCCACTCCTACAAGCCCAAGAAATACCCACAGGCCACAGCCTGCTATGCAGGGCCACGACACTGCCCCGGTAACAAGCAGGAGGAGTAGGAAGAAGCGACAAGTACCTCAATCATGGAGAATCCGCGCTGCCAAATCTCACCCAGTCCGCCTGCAGGGCTTAACTACTCGACCAGCGCAGGTCCTCTCAGGGGCCAGGGGACGAAAGGGAACCATACCAACGCAAGGAACTGCAATCAGGTGCCCGACTCTCCCTAGCGCACGACTCAGGGGAAGGCCTACTCCTGGAACTCACAGAAAGGCCACAACGGCCACTCTGCATCTCCCCACACAGAACACTCACTTGCAAAATCCCGCAGGCCCAACCGGACTTCACACATGCCTCCTCCGCACACGCACTGTTCGACTCTCACCCTGGCAAGAAGGTCAGATCGGTACATTGCAAGCCTGGAAGCGGACTGTTCAGCGGATAGGCTGAAGTTCGGGCGGAGTAGGACTCTGTGGGACTTGTAATATCAGACTGGCTACTTCCAATACTCGAAAGAAAATAAAGAAGTAGTAAGGGGAAATAATCCCCACTATGAGGAAAAATCCTCTACTACTACAGCTACCCCAACACAAAAAAATGTGTAGGCTAAAAGTATCACACCTAAACAAATCCTATACCCATTAAAAAAATTCTTTATTGTAAATAGTAAAATCTTAACCCTAACCCACAAGAAAAAAAGAAAAAAGAATGCAGACTAATACGGCTGAAAACAGCAGTGCTGAATAGATCTATGGTAAATACCAATCTATAAATTGTCACACAGTATACATAGATATAGTGTACTAATATAATGTATCAAATTAGATCACAGCAGCTGAGCCGAAAAGATTCTATGCTCTAACCCTGTTAATGCACCATTCCTCACTCACTCAATCCTTCATACTCCTAAGTATACAATGCATTGGGATATAAAGGAAATCGAAAGGATAGTGAGATAAGAGGTAAGAGTGGATATATAAAGTGCATAAGAGGAAAAAACATTCCAACTAATAATCTCAGACTAGTCTCACATATACTACCATCATGGCATTAACTTGACTAGGTGAACGAGATTAAAAAAAGATAAATCAACCAGAGGGCTAGGCACAAACTGCATACATGTTGCCCAACGCGCGTTTCGGCGGGTAAACCGCCTTTATCAAGGGCATATAATAGCACTCTCCCGCTCGAAATCTCCCCTTCATATACCCCATTAACTCCCCCTACCAGATAGACAAGAGCCAATCGATCGCTAGTGGGGACGTACCCATCTGGCTCCGTTCAAAAAGGGGGGAGTGGTTTACGTCCAGCAGCCAGTCTCTCGTCCTGCGCACATGCGCATGGACTTAGAAAAAAGAGAAAGAGGTAGGCACGAATGGATCCTACCAAATAGCTCAACAGGACAGACATAGTCCTGATTAATCGCTTAGTTAATACTCCCCTATGTATAATAAATTTAAGGGATAGTCTTCACATTAGACTTATGATTAAATCACAGACCATGTACAGGGAGATGGAAGAAAAACCAGAGAAAGAGGGGAGAAAGGGAGGAGAAAAAAAGGGGGGGAAGAAAGGGAAAAATATAAAATACAAAAAAACAAAATTGATCATAATTACATAGGTGAAGAAATACACAGATAATAAATGGTGTAAGCCTCACACATTATACACGTCATTAAATACAGTCATAACCAGCTGGTCCCATAAACATAAGATGGAGTATCATTGAATTATTAATAAATGGTAGTAAAATTAATCTACCTTAATATATATAGGTAATGAAAAGAAGCTTCCCATACATATGTGGCTAAATAAAAGGGGCAAATGAGAAGCCTTCATTCAAGCCTAGAGGTTGAAGTGTCTTTAATTCATAAATCCATCTAGACTCACGTTGTCTCAGAATTTTATCGAAATTCCCCCGTCTGGGATTTCTCTTTACTAATTCCAATCCACAGAAACGAAGATGATTTGAATTACCATAGTGAAATTCTTTTAAGTGTCTGGAGATTGGTGTTTCAAGACGGTTTTTTGGAGATCTTACATGTTCAAGTATTCTTTCCTTAAAGGCTCTAAAGGTTTTCCCCACATATTTCTGTCCACAAGAGCATGTCAACAGATATACGAGGCCCTTGGTATTACAATTGAAGAAGCTCTTAACTTTGAATGTCCCTTGATCTAAACTATCATTAATTACCTTAGAGCCCTTGGAAATATACTTGCAGGCTACACACCTGCCACAACAGTAAGTGCCACATGGGGGAGTTCCCAGCCAAGAGGGACGTATCTGAGATTTAGTAGAAAAGTGACTTGGAACCAACAAGTCACGAATGTTACGTCCCCGTCTTGCTGTCATATTAACCTGTGAACCCAACACCTCCTTGAGATGTACATCATTTAATAAAATCGGCCAGAATCTATCCAGTGATCTTCGTACCTCAAACCACCCTGTATCATAAGTCGCAATCATGCGAATAGTGTCTGTTTCCCTAGATTCACATTTAGGTGGGCGGTCATTTAGTAGTTGATCCCTTTCAGTTAGGAGCGCTCTTTTATATGCCCGCTTTAAACAACGGTTCGGATATCCTTTCTCTTTAAAGTGGATCCTAAGTTGTTTAGCTTTCAATTTAAAATCTTCAATGTCACTACAGTTCCTCCGAAGACGGAGGTACTGACCTACCGGGATACCCTCTTTTTGGGGCCGTGGATGGTAACTTTCCCAATGTAGGAGGGAATTAGTAGCTGTCTGTTTCCTAAATAAGGTGGACTGAAAGGTCCCATCCTCCCTAATGGTAATGGTGACATCTAAGAAATTGATAGAGCGTCCTCCAAACTCTGACGTAAAACGAAGATTCTCATCATTCTGATTCAGCAATCCCACTAAATCGGAAAATTGTTGGGAAGTACCTTGCCATACAATTAGGATGTCGTCAATATATTGACCCCACCATAAAATGAGGGGTAGATATTCTAATATAACATCGGAGGTATAAATAAATTGTTCCCACCACCCCAGGTGGAGGTTTGCATATGAAGGGGCACAAGGTGTCCCCATGGCAGTACCTCTCACCTGGTGGTATATTTTCCCATTAAAGAGAAAATAATTGTGAGATAGAATAAACCTCAACAGACGTAGAACAAAAGTTGTATGTAGACCATCGTCAATACCTCTTTGATTAAGAAAAAATTCCACATGGGCAAGTCCTTTCTCATGAGGAATAGAGGAGTAGAGCGATTCTACATCTAAACTGCATAGTTGGACCAAAACAAATGGTATGCACAAATAGTGATACAAATAGATTGCTCTAAAACACCCGTGTGGGATCCCCTATACCAACACTGTTAAATACATACAGAACAGGAAAAAATGGATGGAGCAATATTAGTCCTCTCTTCTCAACTTGTAGTTCTGTAGAGACAGAGAGGTACACACAATAGTGCAGATGGCTATAGACAAGTGTGGCTAGGTGATAGATGAAAACACTCACAAACGTAGAGCCAATTGGACCTGGCTCTGGTATCAAGGCCTCAGGATCTTTTGGGGGTGATCCAAATCCCTCTGGAGATGTTCTGGATGTCCAAGGATACTTTCTTGTTCCACCATAAACAGCAAGGGATTCAGTTAGATGTAAAGTAAAATATAATTTATTAATACATATAAAATATATAGGAAAGATAAGTATGAAATAACAGCCAAAACGCGTTTCGCCTCTTGGGCTTCCTCAGTTGGCTGTGTACTAGTCTCTGAGTCCTTCTCTGCCTTTAAACGTTGGTTTCGCGGTCTTTTTCAACGTGGAACGCACCTTGCGTTCCATCTTCCTGATCGTTGGTTACTTCCGGGTTCTGTGGATGCGGACAATCACGTGGGGCGGTCTTTTCGTAGGTGGAACGCATCTTGCGTTCCATTCTCCGATCTGTGTTTACTTCCTGGCTTTGGTCATGTGAGTCATCACGTGTATAGCGTTTCGTGCACGTGATATCTAATTTGCATTGTGGAATACTCTTTCGATGGATATTCCTCTCGGGCTAATGATTCCATAATAAGTTCACTAACATATAAATATGATAATCACTGTATGCTAATTGACCATTATAAATGTAAATATACCTGGGTAAACAACAAGATAAATGGATATATAAACAGACTCTTTGAGGTGGCAAAACATTTAGCTTTAAAATTAACAATTGGATAGCTAAGTTCTTAAAGTGACAGTGCATGATTCTAAACATAACCTAATCAGTATTTAGGAATGCAATTGTTTGGCTCAAAAAGGCTGTTTTACACAGGGCTTCAATTTTAAACAAAAAAAAAAAAGAGAAAGGGAAGAAAAAGAAAGAAGAAGAAAGAGAAAGTAATGTTAATGGATCATGTGAAACAGAATTTTACCATGGAGATGTATATACATTATACCCTTATTTCCTTAGATTTGTAAAGTGACAGTGTACAATTACTTTTAATGTAAACTCAGCTCATAAGTGACTTGGTGCTTGTGTGCTTAAAGTGACAATGCTTTTATGATGTTCTGAAAAATATTATTATACATAGTTTTGCAAGATCTTGGTTTAATCTCATATTAATCTCAAAATAAATACATATATTTATGACTAATGGATGGAAGAGAAAAAAAAAAAAAAAAAGGGAACTATAAAAAGTGGCATAATTCGAAATCTTGATTAAGGCCGTGTGGAATAAGTGTTTTAAAATTATAAATAAATTTCATCTCTTCTTCTCCTATTTTTTTATTAAAATCTCCTCCCCTCCAATCTTTTTGTACCAATTTGAAGGCGCAAAAGAACATGTTTTTTGGTTCACTGTTGTGGTGTATCTTAAAATGATTCGATACACTGTGCGTTTCTAAACCCTTTTTGATGTTTCTTACATGTTCTGCGATCCTGACATGTAGGCTTCTAATAGTTCTGCCTACATACATCAGACCACACGGGCATCCAAGAATATAAATGACATTTTTTGAAAAACATGTTAGTAGATTATTAATTGTGAATTTTTTATCTTTTTGGTAGTTGAAGGAGGTGATGTGTCTTTTACTCTGATTGGTACCTCTACAGGCTAGACAGGATCCACAACCATAAAAACCTTTATTTTTATTTAAAAAATGTTCTGTATTTTTATTTTTTTTTATTTTTATTTTTATTTTATTTTTTTATCCCTAGATGTCAGTCCCAGGTCCTTAGCTTTTCTCTCATTTTGGACCGAATGAAATTTATGTAAGGCCAATTTCCTAACAAAAAGGTTAAGGTCTTTAATCCAATTAAACCTATCAAATAACGGTGTCGGTACAAATGACAGGCCTCTATTCAGAACACTGATTTGATCAGAAGTTAATGTCCGAGAGGAAAGATTTATGACCTGGGATTTGGGTTTCAACGTCCTTGGGTTATTTAATACCTCTTTCTCCTTCCCCCTCCCCTTGGGTTTCGGCTTTGATATCGTG